TTTTGTCTTTAGCGGCGGACGGAACTTCGCTCGTGCCGGTGTGCCTCCGGTTTGACCCTGGGGCGGTGGCCAGCCACCCCGTGGGTCGGTGTTTTGTGGAGATCATTTGCTGAAGCCGGGTGTTTACCCAAGCGCTTGGGGCCCCGCTATCGGCGGCCTCGTCCGTCGCTGCCGCACGTGCCGCCCGCCTGCCGCGTTGCTCTCGCCAGCCCGCGATCTCTGCTGCTTCCGCGTTTGCCACCCCTCCTTGGTTATCGATCGTCCTTGATTTCCTTCGCCAATTACTCCCTCGAGGCTTGCCGTGGTGTGGGTGAGGTGCCGCGCGTATTACATTGCAAAAAAAAACAAAAGAAAGTAATCAAAATGCGGAAACGCGATTAAATACGACCCCTGCAGATCTCGTCGTTGCCTCCCTGGTCCGTCCCTGGGCGCGAAATTCCGCGCCTTGTGACGGCGGCGGGGCGCCGCGACGGTGCGGCGAGCCGCAACGTCACAACACCCCACCCCAAGAAGAAGCATACCGGGCGCGGTTGCCCCGTTTAGCCACTCGCCCCCCGGGGTGACCATAAGAACGCCACGCGATCGAGATCTCCAGCTTCGGGCCTCAGGACAACGGAACGAACACAAGTAGGACATCACAACATAACAAAACAAAAAAAAACTGTTGCTGGAAAAAAAAGAAATTAATAGCTAATTCTATCCTAATAACTCTTCGGCCCACGCACTGTAGAACCTCGGGAATCGCAATCCGGGAACGCAATTCATTATCTCCCCGTTTCCCCGTTTCGGACCTTTCCACGCGGCGCGGTCGGACTCCTGTACGGTAGCCTACGACGACAAACTGCCTCTCGCTTGTTGTCGACCGTCTATCCAAACCCAAACCTAACACAATACCAAAGCGGAGGAGTTACCCCTTTTGTGGTCGAGTACGCCGGCAGTACTCGGCCATAAATTTCGCTACGCCGCCCTCGGCGAGCATTCCAAAACCAAACGCGAAATGACGTGTCGACCGCAGAACGAGAGCGCGAATATGTCCCATCGTGGCCCTATTACGTATGGTCGGACCGGCGCGGTATCTTTGACGCGACGGCCGTTCACGGCGGGTTTCCTGCGATCCGGAAATTGACGAAAGACGGTGGTCTTTGGGTGGGTTAAGAACTTCGCTTAAAGCTTGTTTACAGCAATTTATTTACACACAAGAAGACGAATACGGCACTAGGTATTGCCAAAGAAAGATTATTTCCCCCCCCGACGCAACGAAAAGGAAAAAAAAGAAATTTTTATTTTGGTGTCGATCAAAAAAAGAAAACGAGAAAAGGAAGAAAGAGAAAAAAAAAGGAACACGGAGAAAATACGTCTCGCGGTATCGCGAGTTATGGGGCCCCGTTTAGTAATGCGGTGTTCCGGGAGGGGGTCCGCGCCTCCTTGGAGCCTCCTGGCCCAGGTCGTGGCCTTTGCCCTCTTTGTAGGGGCCTTCCAGCCTCCAGGCTGCGCCGCACTCCGGGCAGGTGCGCACCGTGTAGCCTTTCTGGCCGCACCGAAAGCAAAATCCGGGCTTCCTCGGCAAGGGGCATTCGTAAGCGAAGTGGGAGGGAGATTCGCAATTCCAGCAAGCCTCCCTCGCCCTTGACCGGTCCTCCTCGGCCCTGTCCGTTGACGTGATCTCCGGGCTCGGGTTCTTCGGAGTAGACGGCCGGTCGATAGCCTCCATTGCTGGGCGGTCCGGGGGCGACGTGGATCGGACCCCCTTCCACTCGGGGGATTGTTTCACCCACCAGAGCATCTCGCCCCTGGAAGATCCTTCCTCCGAGTCGGAGGTCTGAATGATCCGCTCGCGCTCGATTTGAGTCTCGACCTCCATGGTCTCGGGCGCGGCCTGGGTGTCCATCTCCGTGGTCCCGCTGACGGTCGGGGTAGCCGCCTCGGAGTGGCTTTGCCCCCCGTCGCCTCCCCGGTGTAGACGAGTGTGCCGGCATATGCAGCAATCGCGTAGCCGGTCGATCCACTTACTTAACCACGGGTCGCGGGGATCCATCATAAGAGGAAAAACTAACTTTCTTCGTGGGTCTCTCCTTACCTCAGAGCCCGTACGGTAGCCTACGGAAAGACACTTAAAAGCGTGAGCCCCAAAATAATAACAAAAGGAGAACGCGAATACTATTCATAATAAGGTTTTAAGTCTTTGATGTGAATTTTTCCGATCGAGTTGCCTAAGGAATCGGCAAGCTCGTATACGACAGGCGACAGAATTTTCCGTACGGAAAAGGGGCCATGAAATTTGGTAGACAATTTCGCGGAAACGTGTTGAGCGGCGGACGATAAGACGTGCTGTCGTTTCAATACGCGGTCGCCCACCACGAATTGGCGATCTCGCCTACGCAAATTATAATATCGGGTTTGTTTCATTCGAGCCGTCTCTAGATTTTCGACAACCCATGTCCGTAACTGTTGGATCTTCTCCATTCTTTCCCTCCAAAGGGCAGGATCGGAGTTCTCCACCGCGACAGCTTCGTCTTCCCGTCCGCGAGATAGATTAACAGGCTGAGGTTCCCTCCCAAAATTTAGAAAAGCGGGTGTCGCCTGCAGCGAAGTATGGTGTGCGGAATTGTACGCGAAACGAAACTCGTTAATATGTTGGTCCCATTTGCGGTGGTCCCGTTCCAAGTAAGCGGTAATCATCGTTTTCAATACGCGATTGACTCGTTCGACAGGGTTCGCTTGTGGGTGATACGGCGGTACCGTCGTGTGCTGAATGCCGTACTGTTCCGCTAACGCGTGCAATTCTCGATTCAAAAACTCGATGCCGTTGTCAGTTAACAAGACGCGCGGGGCTCCCCAACGAAAAATAACGAGGTCTTCGATAGCTTCTCTGATTTTCTTGCCAGTAGCCTTACGTAACGGGCAACACTCGATCCACTTAGTGAAAAAATCCTGCATCACGAGAAGATATGCGTGCCCCGATTTACTGGGCGGGAGTGGCCCCATTATATCCGCGGCAACGACCGTCCACGGAGCTTCTATTACGCGTTGACCCATTAACCCCGCGGGAACATCTTGCTCTACTTTAGTCCGCTGACAAGTGTCACACCGGCGCACGTACTGGGCGATCTCTCGATACATCCGCGGCCAATAATATCTTGTCGCAACACGGCGATACGTCTTCTCGACGCCCAAGTGTCCGGCCTGAGGCGGATCGTGGTTTTCCCGAATAATATCCCCCCGCGAGTCCTTCGGCACGACTAATTTCCATCGATTAAGGTCCTCTACGGTTTTGTTTATTACGGGGTGAGGTCGGCGAAAGTATCGTCGGTGGCCAATCCGCGTCGACTTAATTCGGCGATCCGTTCCTCGCGCGTAGCGTGGAGGATCCACTCATCGGTAAGCTCGGTGGAATCCATTTCGTCGTTCAAAATTATCCCCGAAAGCGAAATCTATATTCCGCGCGAAAGCTACGGAATGTTACCGTATTCCCGAAAGAAAATAACACGCGAACAATAATACACGAACAATAACACTCGCGAAAGGAATGTAACGGTAACGCGAAATAGGCAAACAGTTTTTCTGACGCGATCGTCCGTATGCTCGCGATATCGAACTCATTAACGCCTATCGCGATCTCCAGGGATTCGCCATAACGCTTGTACCACGGTTCCGCGGCCACGATACCATCCCGAGGCCCTTCGCTCTCGTTATCGATCGCGAAATTACACTCGATCTTAACATGCGTTATCCCGAGCGAGAGCGTGCACCGGAGTGCGGTGTCGTGGCTTTACATTTCGCGATTTACGGGCAACCTCACCGGTGATACACCTCCTCCTGGGCTCCTCGCCGTCACCGTCCACCAACAATCCTCGATCCGCCAGATATAATTCGGAGTACCCGACTCGGGGTGACTATCGCGTATCTCAGCAAAACTTAGTATCTCGCCGACGGACGACCAGAGAGTGAAACGCTAGACCCGCTCGATTGCGGAATCGATACGGTACCCCTTCCTGAGGGGCGCGCGAGCCAATCGGGCGCGAGCTTGCAAGCCCGCGGTGTCCCGGCGCAGTGCTGTCGATACGAGATCCTTCGGGGGCGGGCAACGGTCCCTCGGCGGCGTGCGACTCCTTAAAATTTTGTCTTTAGCGGCGGACGGAACTTCGCTCGTGCCGGTGTGCCTCCGGTTTGACCCTGGGGCGGTGGCCAGCCACCCCGTGGGTCGGTGTTTTGTGGAGATCATTTGCTGAAGCCGGGTGTTTACCCAAGCGCTTGGGGCCCCGCTATCGGCGGCCTCGTCCGTCGCTGCCGCACGTGCCGCCCGCCTGCCGCGTTGCTCTCGCCAGCCCGCGATCTCTGCTGCTTCCGCGTTTGCCACCCCTCCTTGGTTATCGATCGTCCTTGATTTCCTTCGCCAATTACTCCCTCGAGGCTTGCCGTGGTGTGGGTGAGGTGCCGCGCGTATTACATTGCAAAAAAAAACAAAAGAAAGTAATCAAAATGCGGAAACGCGATTAAATACGACCCCTGCAGATCTCGTCGTTGCCTCCCTGGTCCGTCCCTGGGCGCGAAATTCCGCGCCTTGTGACGGCGGCGGGGCGCCGCGACGGTGCGGCGAGCCGCAACGTCACAACACCCCACCCCAAGAAGAAGCATACCGGGCGCGGTTGCCCCGTTTAGCCACTCGCCCCCCGGGGTGACCATAAGAACGCCACGCGATCGAGATCTCCAGCTTCGGGCCTCAGGACAACGGAACGAACACAAGTAGGACATCACAACATAACAAAACAAAAAAAAACTGTTGCTGGAAAAAAAAGAAATTAATAGCTAATTCTATCCTAATAACTCTTCGGCCCACGCACTGTAGAACCTCGGGAATCGCAATCCGGGAACGCAATTCATTATCTCCCCGTTTCCCCGTTTCGGACCTTTCCACGCGGCGCGGTCGGACTCCTGTACGGTAGCCTACGACGACAAACTGCCTCTCGCTTGTTGTCGACCGTCTATCCAAACCCAAACCTAACACAATACCAAAGCGGAGGAGTTACCCCTTTTGTGGTCGAGTACGCCGGCAGTACTCGGCCATAAATTTCGCTACGCCGCCCTCGGCGAGCATTCCAAAACCAAACGCGAAATGACGTGTCGACCGCAGAACGAGAGCGCGAATATGTCCCATCGTGGCCCTATTACGTATGGTCGGACCGGCGCGGTATCTTTGACGCGACGGCCGTTCACGGCGGGTTTCCTGCGATCCGGAAATTGACGAAAGACGGTGGTCTTTGGGTGGGTTAAGAACTTCGCTTAAAGCTTGTTTACAGCAATTTATTTACACACAAGAAGACGAATACGGCACTAGGTATTGCCAAAGAAAGATTATTTCCCCCCCCGACGCAACGAAAAGGAAAAAAAAGAAATTTTTATTTTGGTGTCGATCAAAAAAAGAAAACGAGAAAAGGAAGAAAGAGAAAAAAAAAGGAACACGGAGAAAATACGTCTCGCGGTATCGCGAGTTATGGGGCCCCGTTTAGTAATGCGGTGTTCCGGGAGGGGGTCCGCGCCTCCTTGGAGCCTCCTGGCCCAGGTCGTGGCCTTTGCCCTCTTTGTAGGGGCCTTCCAGCCTCCAGGCTGCGCCGCACTCCGGGCAGGTGCGCACCGTGTAGCCTTTCTGGCCGCACCGAAAGCAAAATCCGGGCTTCCTCGGCAAGGGGCATTCGTAAGCGAAGTGGGAGGGAGATTCGCAATTCCAGCAAGCCTCCCTCGCCCTTGACCGGTCCTCCTCGGCCCTGTCCGTTGACGTGATCTCCGGGCTCGGGTTCTTCGGAGTAGACGGCCGGTCGATAGCCTCCATTGCTGGGCGGTCCGGGGGCGACGTGGATCGGACCCCCTTCCACTCGGGGGATTGTTTCACCCACCAGAGCATCTCGCCCCTGGAAGATCCTTCCTCCGAGTCGGAGGTCTGAATGATCCGCTCGCGCTCGATTTGAGTCTCGACCTCCATGGTCTCGGGCGCGGCCTGGGTGTCCATCTCCGTGGTCCCGCTGACGGTCGGGGTAGCCGCCTCGGAGTGGCTTTGCCCCCCGTCGCCT